TCAGTGCAGCGTTCGATACTGTCGACCATAATATCCTATTAGAGCGATTAGAACATGCTGTAGGTATTACAGGTACTGTGCTGCTGGAGATTCCCATGATGCACTGAGTGTTTCTTGGTGTGGTAATACACCTTTCTGCATTTAATCGTTAGTAATTATTAATCTCTGGCTCTCTTCTGCAGCATGTCTTTGTCCCATCGTCCAACTTCTGCCAGAGGTTTTTCCATCCGGCTGTCGCTACAGTGACAGCTCAGGGGTCTTTACCTGACATCATAAAGCACTTTGACACGACTGTGAGCTGAAGTGTTTTCTGCTGGACATTTGTCATTTTCATTTGCAATGTTTTCGTTTTTTCCTGTGAACATGATCCTCTCTGAGGGTCACGTGTTCGAGTCGTACACCTGACAGAAGCGTCGCATTTATCCAGGCAGCAGCTCCAACAGCGAGAAACACACACGTCTGCAGACTTTTTAAAATAACTCAACTGTTTAAATTAAGGATTAAAATTTGCATTATGGAGGGGTGTGGCCTCTTTAGCTGACAGGTGGATGGTGACGCACAATTCTGACCTGGAGCCTGATAATATGGCTGCTGAGGTTAATCGCACCAACACGTCTGAAGAAGATGGTTTTATATTTGGCTGTTCCTGAGCATCTGTGTGTCTGCGTCCAGCGCAGAGGCCACGCCTCAATGAGCTCACAACCCCTCCCTGGTTGTTGGAACACCCGCCTGAAAAGCACACCTGTGTTGTGCAGGTATCTGTGGTCAGGGTTACAGGAAGAAGACTCGACACGTGTGGAATAAAACATCAGCCGGTACTTTAATAATGATCTCATCTCAGGAGCAGCAGTGTGGTGTCACCTGCACGTGGACCCAAAGGTTTCATTTAAAAACAACACATCATGTGACGTCACAGGAACAGTCGATGGACTCGCACTCGCACACACATCCGGGTCATCAACAAGGTGTTTAGAAGAAAAAAAGAATAATAAAGAGACAAAAAGTAGGAAAATGTCCCACAGCGGACGCCCCAGTCCTGCCAGCGCTAACACCACGCCTACACCACACGCTGGAGGCGGAGTCACTTCACTGTCTGAGCTGCAGTCAGACGGGGAAAAGCTGAGGAATGGTGGCGAGCGAGAATGGTGACAAGAAGAGCAGCAGCAGGTGAGCGGAGAGTTTCCCATGATGCTTTGCCACATCCTGACAGAACACCACAGGCAGGAGGAGAGGAGGCCGCGGGAACCAAAGCTTCGCCCTCTGCTCATAATTAGCACCGAACTTCGCAGGACTTCCTCCGAAATGTCCTCAGATCCACAGCCGAGTGAACAAACTCCGGAACGCCGAGGCAGGAAATGACCTCACAACCCGACTGACCCCTCAGTACTGGGCGATACGACTTCAGGGGACGGATCGCTTCCTTTGGCTCTATTCTGCCTCACCTGCAGCAGGTGATTAGAGGCCACGCCCCCAAACAACTGTCACTGATCTGGATGATAAAGTGACAATTTGCAACTTCACCTCGCTTCAGACAGGAAGTGAGGAGGGCGCACACTGCAGGAAGTTGAAATTAAAGGTGGGCGGAGCTTCAGGGAGCAGTCGAGGTGGACTGCGGCTCCCTGGAGAAGTTTTATGAAATGTTTCTGTTGATATTTACGAGTCATTATTTCAGGTGTTTTCAAAGGGAGAAGCTCGCCGCCCGGCCCCGTTCCCCAACTCACCCGGGTCGTCCATCAGAGGAAATACTGCTCCGCCCCCTCCTCCTCGTGTGGTTCAGGCGTCGGACTCGTCGCTGCTGTCACGGCTGATCTCGATCTGCAGCGAGGGCAGGTTGTCCAGCCGACTCTTCTTCATCTTGTGGGTGAGACGCTCCTGCTTCTGTTTGATCATGGCGCCCCACATCCTCTGCAGCGTCGAGTCGTCCTCCTCGTCCCCGCGCCTGTCATCCTCCTCCTCTTTGTCCCCCTCTCCGTCACCACGCCTCCTCTCGCTTCTACTGCTGCCACCGCCATCCCGGCCCGATGAGGAAGAGGAGAACAGCCCCGCCGAGCGGCCGCTTGACCTGTCGTGACGTCTGGCGGCAGCGCTGCTGCCGTCGTCGTCGCTGGAGCCGAGTCTGCTCCACAGCCCGCCTGCAGACGAGAGAGAGCGTTACAAACGCCACACAGCAAAGAAAGAAGACGACAGAGGTCGGCGTCGCCTCCGTACCCGTCTTCCTGTCTGTGGATGAGTTTGAGCAGTGGCCTCTGCTGTCCTGACTGGCCACGCCCAGTCTGCGATGCACATCTCTGGCTAGGGGAGTGTCTCTCGGGGACAGCGGCGAGGGGGAGCGGCGTCTGTCTGGAGAGTAGCGTCTTTTCCCGAGCCGCTGCCGTACGTCTGCGGAGAGCGTCAGAGTCAGAGGCCCGCCTCACGGCAGCACAGCAAGCACCTGGATTTAAACCGCTCACCTGTCTTCCCGCCGCTGACCACCGGAGGGGGCTGGCTGTGCTGAGAGTGGCCCTGCCGCTTCTCCTCCAGCAGCTGCCGCACGTCCGTCACCTTAGAGGGCGACGAGGCTTTGGTCCTGCTCTGTGATCCCGACGTTCCGATCCTGTTCCTGAACGGTGCGACACAGGCAGAGTTAAACGCAAAGCAAACGTGTGTGAGCGCGGCGGCGAAACATTCCTGCAGGTTTAATGATCAGAGCAGAAGAAAATCTTTCATGCATTAACTAGCTGTGTCCCACAACCTAGGCTGCATCCTCCTGAGGCCGCATTTGTAGGCCGATTACATCACAGCAACGCGGCGTAGACTCCTCCAAATATATCCCAAAATGCCTCCTCCATTTCCCCGAATTTGAAGGATGGGTCGGGTATGTCCTTTACTGCAACTAAGTTTTAATATTACTCTTATTATTCTTTCTGGGTCACAAAATAAACTTTTAACATATTTTCAGGCGAGAATGTGGCTGTGCAAACTTCAAATATCTGCTCGGTTTATCAAGACACCGCATATTTGCAAAAGTGCTTCGACATTTTTGGAGACGTCTGTTACCCATCAGCGAGCCGGGGCGAGAACGGCAAACTCCCGGCACATCGTTTTCAGATAAGATAAAGACACAAAGAAGAAGTTTATTGTCATTGTAGTTATACAACAAAATTTGTTTGGTAGCTCACAGCAGCAATAAAACAAGAAGCAGCACAGTAATAAATAACCGTAGTAAAAGTATAAGATACAAAGTAAAAGGAAGGAACTTAGCACAGTAAATAAAGAAAACATAACAGTATTTACACCAGACACTTTACAGACCACCGTGGTCTTTCGCTACTCAGTTTAAATGTAATATATAAGTTACTTAGACAATGATAGTCCACTAGTCAGATCATCATCCATACAGCTGACTGCACCAGCAGCATCTGCTCTTATATAACCATCATTAGCTTACAGCTTTAAGTGTTTAAGGTGCTAACTAAAAATAAAGACAAGA